GGAAGGAGTTTCAATAGTAGTTAGAAAGTTTCTTAAGGTGTGTGTGTGATCTCTGAGCGAGGTCACTGCTCTTCTCTGAATCTTGCTAATATGGAACTTGCATTTCGGGCAATTGTGTATAATCAGTCATTAAACAGAGTATGACCAATGATGGAAGGAGTTTCAATAGTAGTTAGAAAGTTTCTTAAGGTGTGTGTGTGATCTCTGAGCGAGCTCACTGCTCTTCTCTGAATCTTGTTAATATGGAACTTGCATTTTGGGCAATTGTGTATAATCAGTCATTAAACAGAGTATGACCAATGATGGAAGGAGTTTCAATAGTAGTACAGGACCTGAAACAATTTTGTTTTATAGTAGAAGTAACCTTCAGTTGTGATATTAACAAGTGGTGTGTTAGGAGGAGAATGAAGTTTCACAATAACGATACTTAAGATAAACAACTTTGTTTATTTATAACATAAGCGGACACAGATAAACATTTCAGAATTCAACAGATTCCATCCTCGGTATCTAAAACAAAATAAAATAATTTAGAATACCCAAACTCACAACATACTACCATAAGTTCACTTGCAAGGTTGAAAATAATAATGATTTACCTTTTTTAGACATTAGCTGTAACACTAGTGGATTTGTTACATCAATATACAGAAAATAGACATTTACTGGACTTCTGGACTATTTGACAGCTTTATCCTATTCACGTACAAAAGAAATCTGGTAACATGCTTATTAAACAGAGCTTATAACTTGTGTTCTACGTACCTTGATTTACACTCTGACATTTTGCTCATACAGGTTACTTTAAAAAGTCACATTAAACAGAGCTTATAACTTGTGTTCTATGTACCTTGATTTACGTGCAAAATGTCAGAGTGAATGTGACTTTTTAAAGTATCCTGTATAAACAGAGCTTATAACTTGGTTCTACGTATCTTGATCTACACTCTGACATTTTGCTGATACAGGATACTTTAAAAAGTCGCATTCAATGAGTAATTCCTTGTTAGTACCCCAAGTTGATTTCAGATTAGTTTTAAACCCACATCTCACTTACAGGATTTTTTATGTACAAAAGACCTCTGAATTTCTCTTTGTTCATGGCTTGTATGTATTTACACGTGTGGAGACTGTAAGGCCTCCTATATTGGCAAAACTTAACGCTATCTACAAGTTAGAGCCAATGTACATATGGGAATTTCCATGAAAACACAAAAAAAAGTTGAGTAACCCCTGTGTTTCCTCTATACGCCAACATAGTGAATAAACAGGACACAAACTTAACCTATCAAATTTCAATATCCTTTCCAAAGCCAACACTGATTAAAGAAGCCTTCCACATCAAACAACTTTCACCAACACTGAACAACACGCAATCTTCACTTAAATTGTACAGTATTTTGTTTGTTACTCGTTTAATTTTTATGTTGTTGTAGTTCTGATTAAATTACTGTTATTTTAGCTGCATATTTCAGTCACTTACTTAGAAATGACGTAATTTTTTTATTTTTGATTAGATACCGAAGATGGAATCTGTTGAATTCTGAAAAGTTTATTTGTGTCACCTTCTGTTATAAATAAATAATGTTGTTTATCTTAAGTATCGTTATTCTTTGTATTGTGATTTTGTTTGTTGTTTGAAAGTTGATTTATCAGCATTAAAAGGTGAAAACTACTCTTGTGCTATATTATATATCTGACTTTGTGTTAGGACAGTGTAGAACATCTTCTGGAATATCACATATTGATTACTAAGAAACTGTGAAAACTAATCATGATTTGTTTTACTTACCAAGAAATTTGTTTTTTCAAAGGTTCTTCTTGAATTGGCTACTGGTCTGCGAGCTTTTGACGATAAGAGATCAGACTTTAAGTACCTGGTAAGTTATATATTGGTATCTTTCTAGGATTTCACAACCCCCGGAAGTAAAGTATGGGAATTTCAGTCTAAATGTTTCATGGTAAAACTGTCAGTTCTTTTCTTTTCACTGATAACTGTATATAGTTGATGTACTTTTTGCCAAGAACTGATTGGTGCAGGCTTTCATTACTTAAATTTGTTTCTATGTGTGTATAACAAGATGTTAGGTGCGGGTAACAAGAGTGTTACTTCTGGTTAGTTTTCATGTTGGGTGTGGGTAACAAGATTGTCACTTCTCATTAGTTTTCCCATTGGGTGTGGGTAACAAGATTGTCACTTCTCATTAGTTTCCCATTTGGGTGTGGGTAACAAGAGTGTTACTTCTAGTTAGTTTTCATGTTGGATGTGGGTAACAAAATTGTTACTTCTAGTTAGTTTTCATGTTGGGTGTGGGTAACAAGAGTGTTACTTCTGGTTAGTTTTCATGTTGGGTGTAGGTAAACAAGTGTGTTACTGCTTGTTAGGTTTCTTGTCGGGTTTAGGTAAACAAGTGTGTTACTGCTTGTTAGGTTTCTTGTCAGGTGTGGGTAACAAGTGTGTTACTTCTGGTTAGTTTTCATGTTGGGTGTGGGTAACAAGAGTGTTACTTCTGGTTAGTTTTCATGTTACAACTTGTTACTGCTTGTTAGGTTTCTTGTCAGGTGTAGGTAAACAAGTGTGTTACTGCTTGTTAGGTTTTTTGTCGGGTGTGGGTAACAAGTGTGTTACTTTTGGTTAGTTTTCATGTTGGGTGTGGGTAACAAGAGTGTTACTTCTAGTTAGTTTTCATGTTACAACTTGTTACTGGTTGTTAGGTTTCTTGTCGGGTGTAGGTAAACAAGTGTGTTACTGCTTGTTAGGTTTCTTGTTGGGTGTAGGTAACAAGAGTGTTACTTCTTGTTAGTTTTCATGTTACAACTTGTTACTGCTTGTTAGGTTTCTTGTCGGGTGTTTGTATCCTCTAACTATCTATGTTTACCATTATTCCTACTTTTTTACATAAGTTTCCTTAAGTGATAAGAAAACTTTCTAACACTAGTGACATCTTTTTGATTGATAAGTCAAAACTAGAATTACAGAAATTGTTAACCATAAAGTTCATCAAGACTTCACAATATAAAAACCACATATTGTCTGAGTATTTTTTGGTCCGACTCTCAAGGTACAATACGTGGCTAGCCATAACAGTGAAACATTTGGTGCCCTCAAGGATACAAAAGCTGGTGAGGACCATAGTTACTGGTACTTACACTTGCTAAATCAAGGACAGAGGTGTGCCCACAAACTGAAAAAATATCGTCCAGAAATGGCTGAGGTGAGTGATCTAGTTTTGAATTGTTAAGAGACTAGAAGTGATACAAAAATATTCATTACGACTCTAATCAAGCACTGATATAGTTTTGTTTGTTAATGTAATGTATCCTTTTAAATAATTTTCATGCAATTAATTTTTTTCTTGAAATGGGAAGACTTGCCCATAGTAATAAGTTTTGTGATTCATCTTCCAGGTTGTAGAAGGATAAAAAATTTTTTTTTTCCTGATTAACACGAACGTAACACTCACACTAAACATTGCTTTCTAAAACTGTAATATTGTATAGCTTGAAGATTATCTGAAGTTAGCTGTTTAGAGAAGAGTTTATTTTACTATGCTGTAAATATAAATTTAATTTTTGTCATCCAAATATTGAATGACACGATTGTTATCTGTTCTTCAGGTGCAGGGTTGGTTTAAGCAGATTCGAGAGCAGGTAGCTGAACTGGGCCGTAAGTGATAAACTTGAAATATTTAAATGACACACCCTGGAAATAATTTTGAATATATTAGTACTACTGAGAAAAATCCCAGTAATCTTTATAAAAGATTTACAGATTATTCGTAAAGTATACCCGTTTGTCAATTAATAATAGTTTTTCTGTATTGGTTAAGATACTATTTTAATGTTAAACCCTGGAGTATTGATTTATTGTGTATTTACTTTAGTTTTAGATTCTGATAACAATATCATAGGTTTCTGTTTGTCTAGATATTGATAAGATTAATCATTGTTAGTGTAAGATTGAAAAAATCTACATAAACTGCAAAATATTTTTCTTCAGGAAAAGGAAATTTAAAAAATGAAGTATTCTAATTATTTCCAGCTTTTCAGTTTTTTCAGGGTTATTGAACTTTGAATAACAATTCAGTATGTCCATCTGAAGATTTGTTTATACAGTTTTAGATCATATCATTGTCAACAACACTTGACAGAAAAAAAAAATTAAGATTCAGTTTTTATAAGTAGTGTGAAAATAGAAACTTTCAAGTCTGTTAATTGATATCTTAATTGTTCTTAAAGTTACTTTTTTTTAGTTTTATTTGTTTTGGGCCGTGATCATTTCATAAACTTTTGCAGAACTTTCTACCATTGACATAGAAACCCTGCTGTCGGAACCGTTGTCTCCAATGCAACGTCAGATACTGTATGACATTCGTAACAGACTAAGCTTACAGACTCCTGGTGCATCAGGTTCAAAATGCAAAAACTCTTTGGATTGTAGAAGCTATACATCATCAGCGCCTAGGTATCCTGTAGTTCCACCTTACACCGGTCTTAATGCTTCTGCCAACGTGTAAGTTGATTATTTATCAACAAAACTTGTCCTTACTAGGTAATGAAAAACATTTGTGGTCTGTAATATAAACAACACAAAGAATCATTACTAGAAAATTATAGTAACTCGAAATAAAAATGTTTCATAAGTATATTAAATAGAAAAAAATACAGTTTTTTTTTTAATAAAGTTAAAGTTTGCATCATAAAAAAAAAACAAGATTATGGTGTTCCCAACTTTCTTTTACTGATCACATTTTTTAACAAAGAAAGAATTGTTTGAAATTGTTATAACTCTCTGACAAGTAGTGGTATGAATGATAGGTTGAGCTTACTATTTAGTTTTATTATTTTAAACATGCTGTTGGTTGAACAGTTGAGAAGAGTAAATAAGTGACATCAGTACTACATATTCTTCAAACCTTTATATATATATATAGGTTCACTGTAGTGAGGAAAAGATGGTTTAAATAAATCATGAATATATATAACTTACAGCTCAACACTGCAAGAAGCCTAGTAAATAAATCATGAATA